CGAAATTTTCGACCCAAAAACAAAGATGTGCTCACTTTCGTACAACGATAAAGCAATGTGCTCGTCTGAGAAGCTCGTACAAGTGGCCAGACCTGAGGAGCCAGTATTCATGCACTGCGTCAGTTGCGGTGAGTTTAATTAGAATTCCCATTTATGTACGAAATAATACTATTTCATGCAGTTTCTGTAGTGCTTCACAAAGTATGACCGGTACAACAAAAATTGATTTCTTCAGAATGACACGATGGAGGTGTTGCACTGCCGGCATTCCTACGATATGCTTAGATGACTGGTGTAATAAGAGGAGATTAAGAGGAAATATGTCAAATAGGTTTATACATGGACAGTGCCGGCTCAGTTGTATATGCCACCCCTGATTTTTTCAGTTTTGTGACTTATTTGGAATTTCGTAAATCGCATAGCAACCATCGTTTTCGGCGTGTCGGAAAACTAGGAACGGTGTTGTTTGATTTTGGTTAACGCGTGGATTTGAATTGCTCTGTTCTTTTGAAGAAAATGGGCCGCGTCAATTGCTTATGCCATCCTAAAATTTCTTCGGAATTTCTCATGTCTTCTAACGCTATTCAGCTACGGTGTGCATGTAATACAAATGAGGAAATCCTCCACTTATGCAATGCACACAAATGGTGGAGCATTTATAACTAATTAGTTCGGAATATTAGCCTTATACTGGACGGTAGCAGCATGAAAACGCTTTATCAGAGAAAGAGCTGTGTTCTTTCTTTTGTCGATCGCTCCTGCTGCTTATTATAGAACATATGTAGGGAGTGTATTCAGGCAAAAAATGGAGAATTCGACTTGCTCAAGTAGCCATGAAATTCACAATTTGGCTCATCAAACCCGTGGTCAACTTTATTTGTGGTCACGGCTCCCGCGAGGCTCGAAGCGTTCACGCTCACAAAGTCTCGGTTCAGAGAGAATATGAATCGTACTCACAATCCGCCTGGTACCCATCATTGAAGCTGATCGGATTCTTACTGGAAAAATGATCGTAGCAAGTGAGCGAAAATGGTGACATGGGCCCAGTTGCTACGTGCACAACGCAAGGTGATGGCATGGACCGTCATTGTATCGTCCTTGCGCTCGCATCGTGCTGAAGTCGATCGAAGTTTTTCCGATAAAGGACGATGCAATGACGGCCCATGCCATCACCTCGTTGTCCCGTTCAATTTACAACTGGCCCATGTCACCATTTTCGCTCACTTGGTACGAACATTTTCCAGTAAGAATCCGATCAGCTTCAATGATGGGTACCAGGCGGATTGTGAGTACGATTCATATTCTCTCTGAACCGAGACTTTGTGAGCGTGAACGCTTCGAGCCTCGCGGGAGCCGTGACCACAAATAAAGTTGACCACGGGTTTGATGAGCCAAATTGTTGAATTTCATGCCTACTTGAGCAAGTCGAATTCTCCATTTTTGACCTGGAATACACTCCTCCATAAGTTCTATAATAAGCATAATAAGCACCAGGAGCGATCGCAAAAGAAAGCACACAGCTCTTTCTCTGATAAAGCGTTTTCATGCTGCTACCGTCCAGTATAAGGGCTAATATTCCGAACTAATTAGTTATAAATGCTCCACCATTTGTGTGCATTGCATAAGTGGAGGATTTCCTCATTTGTATTACATGCACACCGTAGCTGAATAGCGTTAGAGACATGAGAAATTCTGAAGAAACTTTAGGATGGCATAAGCAATTGACGCGGCCCATTTTCTTCAAAAGAACAGAGCAATTCAAATCCACGCGTTAACCAAAATCAAACAACACCATTCTTAGTTTTCCGACACGCCGAAAACGATGGTTGCTATGCCGATTTACGAAATTTCCAAATAAGTCAGAAAACTGAAAAATCAGGGGGTGGCATATACAATTGACGCGCACTGTATATATAGGGCATATGATTGTAATCTGCTTGCAATCAGTTCAGTGAAGTAGGAAGTACGGGAAATGGGTGGTCTACTTGTTAGCTGTGTGAGAAGGTACTTGTTGTAAGTGCTGGAACGGTAGTAAAGTACCCTAAACTAGCAAACAAATGTGGTGATTTTTCCCTGTTGACGAGAAAAATGGACAGAGCATGGAAACATGGGCATGGCTACTTGGACCCGCCAGACTCGCCACATTATCTGAAAACTTGCTCTGACTTGAACCGTGAATAATATAACTCATATCCTTGTTTTTGCCATTGCATCAAGGATTATCTAACCACAGCATTGGGAGAGATGTTGACAACAGGTAAGCAACGGATGTTGCTTGCAAATCTTAGACTTCAAGCGGTGTTGATCCAACAAACCTTGCCAGCGGCAGCGTGGAACGTTCCCATTGAGCCATTGGCAATTCGCCATGACGGAAATGGTGAGCATCCCGACGTTGCCTGCAAAACTTGCGTCAACCTGAATTTGTAGCTTCGGCAACGTTTCATGAGCGGCATCGCCTCTAGAGCATTGAGGAGCCCTTTTTGTCTACGGTTAAAAAGTTATAGAGAAAAGAATTGCTAGGAAAGGTTGCAGAATTCAGAATTCTCATAGTATCGATCCCACACCAATTCAGTACCAACGTAGAACGAAGCCTACACCATAAACGCAGCAAAGCGAAGTTCCCTTTTCCCTTCCACCACCCTGCTTTGACCCACGCATATTGGCACTTTGAATGTGGCCATATCTGAAAAGTCCTCCGGCGAACACATGAAAGTACCAGCATGCCTGCATCTCCACCCCTCGTGCACTATTTCTGTTTTCTCTGCTGCCGTCGTCGTTGGGAATTTTGGGAGTCCTTCGCGCATGTTTTAGGTCACTTCGGATGGAAGCCTTCATCAGGTTACCATGAGCTACGAGTCACACTGCAACTAGCAACTGAGGCCAGATTGCCACCGTCCCTGGTCACCATCTACATGACAAGGTCCGAGGCGAAAATGGAGAAATATAGCTATTTGAAGGGCAGGCGGGCTCCCCAAGAGTGCGGGACGAGGCGCGTTTCGCAGCGAAGAGTGTGTATCAGTGGCTCAGCTGGGCCATTCCGTTCATGCTGCCGCTACTCGCCTACCCTCTCGCCGTCTGATCTAGCCGTTTAGCAGAACACCTGTACCTATACGTTTAGCAGACTGATCACCTTTCTAACCTGTTTCAGTGGGCTACCTTCCATCGTAAACTCCACCTCTAAGTTCGTCCTGACAGCTAATATCAAGGTAAAAGACTATTAAACCAGTTCCTTATAAAATGCCCGAAGTTCTTATGTGAAAACAACGGTTTTTGAGCTCTCACAACACTTAGCAAACTCGTCAAATTGAATATGTAAAAAAAACTACGTCTCCAGTTCCCGTAGGAAGAGGTTTTCATGGCCACAGAACAACATGAGCGGAAGATCGTGCGAGAAAACTGAACTTTTGAGGAAAGCTACTCCCAAAAACCATACCTCCTGGCCAGCTGCTAATAGGGAGCTAATAGGATGGGCGGGGAGAAGAGGGTTCTCATGGCAGAATGTCGTATTTGGTTACATCCATGTGAATGAGTTTGGTACTACCGAGCGTAAACCTCGTTCACTATCACGCGGTCTACACCCTTGCATTTCATTGTTCCCACCGCCAACATCTACGACAGTTTTCGACGACGATTCGAATCACTTGTAGACGTGGACTGTAGACTGCTGAGATTTTCTGATCTTTCATCGGAACAAACGCTATTTTTTCGTGTTCATACTACACTGATGTGCAAAACTTAAGGACGAGATAGATGAAGTAACATAACTTATTGATAGCTTTGTGGACCGTTTAACGGTTCCTGTTAATTGCTTTCTGTACTGCGTAGCAGCTCTTTCCATGTGTGGTTAGGTTCCACAGAGTATGTTACTCGCCAGTAACACGGCTCGGAAAAGCTACAATTCGTCCTTAAGTTTTGCACATTAGTGTATTTCTCGTAAACCAAGGAAACTAAGGCAAAATTTGAAGTGCATGCAACTTCACGTGGTTTCCATACGCTTGCTATTTGTTTCATTCAAGTTCCAAACAACTTCATTTGATCATTTACTGAAATGATCCCCTTCAGTTTTCTTTCATACAACTCTCAAGAAACTATACAACATCTTTGTATTGAATAGTAGGGCCAACATTCCGAAATGAGCTTAAAAAACCTATATTCGTAGTTTCAGTTCCACACAAAGCCGGAAGCAAACTTGAAATAAGCAATGGAGCAATTGGAGAAAAGAATGAAGATGCCACGCCAGGTTGGGCCCATAAGTGAAGTTGAAAAACGCTGTCATTTCATTCACTTGCATTGCAGAGTCTGCAACGAAAGCTACCACAGAGTCGAGTGAGCTTCCAAGTGCAACTACTATGGCCTCCTCAGTTACAGATGTTTCTGCTACAACACCATCTGCTCCAGAGTCGGAAGGAAATGAAGCAGAAGCAAGTGGAGAATCTCCTGCAGGCGAAGAAAGAGAACATGAAGCAACTACGACAGCAATCGCAGAATCTAGCGGAGAAGAGCCAGCGGAAAGTAAGGAAATGCCACACGTTGAAGCGAACGAGGATGAAGAAGCGGCCACTGCGACGGCATCAACGGCACCTTCGGAAACAACGGCAGCTCCTGCTGAAACAACGTGGTCTACTTCGACAACTTCGTCAGCATCTCAAATTCCTGTTGAACAATTAGCCTCTTCTTCAACTTCTGAGCCCGGAGTCGTTACAACGGAAGCAAGTGGAGAGATGACTACTGAAGGAGTAAATCAGGCGGAGTCGACCACTGTGAAGCCTCTAGAGGGCAGTGGGGAGGAAGCAGCAGAGAGTAGTAAAGTACCAAATATTCAAGAAAACGCAGATGAAGAAACAGCTACCCTCCTTGCACCATTGACCACTTCAGAAGCCTTGCCTCCAATTACAGCTATTGCGAGCGAGACACCTGAGGCAGTTTCTGTGACTTCATCAGCCATCGGAGAGTCAACCACCGTGCCTTATACTTCTTCATCAGGTTTCACTGAAACCGAAGCAAGCGGGGAAGCAACTGTTGACGAGAGCCTTCAGCCAAAGTCGACATCAACACCAGCCGTGGAAACTGGTGGAGAAGAACCTGTGGGGGATAACAACGTTCCGAACATTGAAGCGAACGCAGATAAAGAATCCACTAAAGTAGCGGCAGAGGGAGCTACTTCGCCACCTGGAAAAGAAGTATCAACCACATTACTTCCATCTTTATTACCGGGCTCCTCGGATAGCGAGGCGAGCGGAGAAGCAGTCACCGAGGAAGGTTCTGTGAAATCAACCACAGCGGCAACCACAGAAGCCAGTGGAGAGGAACCAGAAGTTAGCAGCAATGTGCCTAATGTTGAAGCGAATGCGGATGAAGAGAAAACTACCGTTCTAGCAGCAGTTTCCACGCAGGCAATAACAGAAACCACAACAGCTATGACGGGAGCAGGCGATCAAAGTGCGACCACTCCATTATCAGGTGAGGAATCTGTCACATCTTCTTCGGGTTCATTACCGGACTTGCGCGTAACTGAAGCGAGCGAAGGCAAGTTAGAAACGCAAACAACAGAAAAGCCCGTGGAAGCTAGTGGCGAGGAACCAGAAGAAAGTAACAAAATCCCTAAAGTTGAGGCAAGTGCAGATGAGAAGGCAACTACTCTCGCAGTATTACACACTACGCAATTCAACGCGCAAACAAGTGAGTTCGCTTCCGTCACCATGTCTCAGACTGAAATTCCTTCCACAACATTACTTCCCGTTTCGCACGTGATTGTTGCAGTGAAGGAACAACCGTTGAAGGAGTTTTAATAACCACGCCAACAACAGCAGGGCCTATTGAAGCCAGTGGGGAAGAACCAGCTGTGAGTAATGTTGTGCCCAATGTTGCAGCAAATGCGGACGGGGAGGGAACCACTGCTGCTGTAGAGACGAACGAGCCAATCTCCACTACATCTTCTGAAGCCAAAGAATCTGAAGTTCCCTCTACTACATTGCTGCCCGCTTCGCTTGTGACTGTTGCAGGTGAAGGAACAACCGTTGAAGGAGTTTTAATAACCACGCCAACAACAGCAGGGCCTATTGAAGCCAGTGGGGAAGAACCAGCTGTGAGTAATGTTGTGCCCAATGTTGCAGCAAATGCGGACGGGGAGGGAACCACTGCTGCTGTAGAGACGAACGAGCCAATCTCCACTACATCTTCTGAAGCCAAAGAATCTGAAGTTCCCTCTACTACATTGCTGCCCGCTTCGCTTGTGACTGTTGCAGGTGAAGGAACAACCGTTGAAGGAGTTTTAATAACCACGCCAACAACAGCAGGGCCTATTGAAGCCAGTGGGGAAGAACCAGCTGTGAGTAATGTTGTGCCCAATGTTGCAGCAAATGCGGACGGGGAGGGAACCACTGCTGCTGTAGAGACGAACGAGCCAATCTCCACTACATCTTCTGAAGCCAAAGAATCTGAAGTTCCCTCTACTACATTGCTGCCCGCTTCGCTTGTGACTGTTGCAGGTGAAGGAACAACCGTTGAAGGAGTTTTAATAACCACGGCCAACAACAGCAGGGCCTATTGAAGTCCAGTGGGGAAGAACCGGTAGCGAGTGAGTAATGTTGTCCCCAATGTTGCAGCAAATGCGGACGACGGGAGGGAACCACTGCTGCTGTAGAGACGAACGAGCCAATCTCCACTACATCTTCTGAAGCCAAAGAATCTGAAGTTCCCTCTACTACATTGCTGCCCGCTTCGCTTGTGACTGTTGCAGGTGAAGGAACAACCGTTGAAGGAGTTTTAATAACCACGCCAACAACAGCAGGGCCTATTGAAGCCAGTGGGGAAGAACCAGCTGTGAGTAATGTTGTGCCCAATGTTGCAGCAAATGCGGACGGGGAGGGAACCACTGCTGCTGTAGAGACGAACGAGCCAATCTCCACTACATCTTCTGAAGCAAAGAATCTGAAGTTCCCTCTACTACATTGCTGCCCGCTTCGCTTGTGACTGTTGCAGGTGAAGGAACAACCGTTGAAGGAGTTTTAATAACAACCGCCCAACAACAGCAGGGCCTATTGAAGCCAGTGGGGAAGAACCAGCCGTGAGTAATGTTGTCCCCAATGTTGCAGCAAATGCGGACGGGGAGGGAACCACTGCTGCTGTAGAGACGAACGAGCCAATCTCCACTACATCTTCTGAAGCCAAAGAATCTGAAGTTCCCTCTACTACATTGCTGCCCGCTTCGCTTGTGACTGTTGCAGGTGAAGGAACAACCGTTGAAGGAGTTTTAATAACCACGCCAACAACAGCAGGGCCTATTGAAGCCAGTGGGGAAGAACCAGCAGCTGTGCCATAATGTTGTCCCCAATGTTGCAGCAAGTGCGGACGGGGAGGGAACCACTGCTGCTGTAGAGACGAACGAGCCAATCTCCACTACACCTTCTGAAGCCAAAGAATCTGAAGTTCCCTCTACTACATTGCTGCCCGCTTCGCTTGTGACTGTTGCAGGTGAAGGAACAACCGTTGAAGGAGTTTTAATAACCACGCCAACAACAGCAGGGCCTATTGAAGCCAGTGGGGAAGAACGGCGAGCAACCAGCTGTGAGTAATGTTGTCCCCAATGTTGCAGCAAATGCGGACGGGGAGGGAACCACTGCTGCTGTAGAGACGAACGAGCCAATCTCCACTACACCTTCTGAAGCCAAAGAATCTGAAGTTCCCTCTACTACATTGCTGCCCGCTTCGCTTGTGACTGTTGCAGGTGAAGGAACAACCGTTGAAGGAGTTTTAATAACCACGCCAACAACAGCAGGGCCTATTGAAGCCAGTGGGGAAGAACCAGCTGTGAGTAATGTTGTGCCCAATGTTGCAGCAAATGTGGACGGGGAGGGAACCACAGCTGCTGCTGTAGAGACGAACGAGCCAATCTCCACTACATCTTCTGAAGCCAAAGAATCTGAAGTTCCCTCTACTACATTGCTGCCCGCTTCGCTTGTGACTGTTGCAGGTGAAGGAACAACCGTTGAAGGAGTTTTAATAACCACGCCAACAACAGCAGGGCCTATTGAAGCCAGTGGGGAAGAACCAGCTGTGAGTAATGTTGTGCCCAATGTTGCAGCAAATGTGGACGGGGAGGGAACCACAGCTGCAGCAGAGACGAGCGAGCCTGTTTCCACCACTCCATTCGGAACTGAAGAATCTACAACTGTGCCGACTACGCTTCTGCCCGTTTCACACGTGATTGTTGCAAATGAAGGAACAACCGTAGAAGGAGGTTTAATAACAACGCCAACAACAGCAGGGCCTATTGAAGCCAGTGGGGAAGAACCAGCTGTGAGTAATGTTGTGCCCAATGTTGCAGCAAATGTGGATGGGGAGGTCACTCAAGGCCTCCGGCAGCAGGAGACGAGTGAGCCGCAATCATCCACTACCCCTTCCTGAACCCAGAATCTTGAGCTTCCCAAATCTACTACATTGCAGATGACCTTCATACCGCTTCGCCTTAGATGATTGTTGCAAATGAAGGAACAACCGTAGAAGGAGGTTTAATAACCACGCCAACAACAGCAGGGCCTATTGAAGCCAGTGGGGAAGAACCAGCTGTGAGTAATGTTGTGCCCAATGTTGCAGCAAATGTGGATGGGGAGGAGAAACTCATCAGCTGCAGAGAGACGGAGGACGAGCTGTTTCCATATCACTCCCACCTTCGGAAGTTTTGAAGAACTTACATACTGTGGGCCGACAGGGCGTATCGTGTAAACCCACGTGTTCCAACGTATCTGTTGCAAATGAAGGAACTAACCGTAAAGGAGTTTAATAACAAAAGCCTAACGAACAGAGCACGGGCACTAATGCAAGCCAGTGCGGGGATGAACGGTCAGCTGTGAGTAATGTTGTGCCAAATGTTGCAGCAAATGTGGACGGGGAGGGAACCACAGCTGCAGCAGAGACGAGCGAGCCAGTTTCCACCACTCCATTCGGAACTGAAGAATCTACAACTGTGCCGACAACATCGTTCTGCCCGTAATACAAGCACACCGTGATTAGTTGCCAAATGAGAGGAAACCCAACGTAGAAGGAGGTAATCACCACCGCAACATCCACAGGCAAGGGGCCTATTTGAAGTCCAAGTGTAAGAAACCAAATCTGTGAGTAATGTTCGTGCTAATGTGTTGCAGCAAACTCGTGGACGGGGAGTCGCGCGAACACCAGCTGCAGCAGAGTGACCGACGAGCCTGGTTTCCACACTCTTGCCATTCGGAACTGTAAGAATTGATCCTACCAACTCGTGCGGAATGACGCTCTCTGCCCGTTCATCACACGTGGATTGTTGCAGAATGGAAGAACAGACGTAGAAGAGTTTAATACACCCAAACGTCCCAAAAACAGGCGAGGGACCTATTTGAAGCGCCAGTGGGGAAGAACAGGCTAGTGATGTATTGTCTGATGCCCAGGTCCTGATAGATCCCCGAATTATATGCAAGCTGTTGCCAATGTTGCAGCAAATGTGGACGGGGAGGGAACCACTGCTGCAGCAGAGACGAACGAGCCAATCTCCACTACACCTTCTGAAGCCAAGAGAATCTGAAGTTCCCTCTACTACATTGCTGCCCGCTTCGCTTGTGACTGTTGCAGGTGAAGGAACAACCGTTGAAGGAGTTTTAATAACCACGCCAACAACAGCAGGGCCTATTGAAGCCAGTGGGGAAACGAACACTGTGAGTTAATGTTGTGCCGCCAATGTCGGCAGCAAATGTGAATCCGGGGAGGAACCCAACAGCTGCCGCACAGAGACGAGCGAGCCAATCTCCACTACACCTTCTGAAGCCAAAGAATCTGAAGTTCCCTCTACTACATTGCTGCCCGCTTCGCTTGTGACTGTTGCAGGTGAAGGAACAACCGTTGAAGGAGTTTTAATAACCACGCCAACAACAGCAGGGCCTATTGAAGCCAGTGGGGAAGAACCAGCTGTGAGTAATGTTGTGCCCAATGTTGCAGCAAATGTGGACGGGGAGGGAACCACAGCTGCTGTAGAGACGAACGAGCCAATCTCCACTACCTTCTGAAGCCAAAGAATCTGAAGTTCCCTCTACTACATTGCTGCCCGCTTCGCTTGTGACTGTTGCAGGTGAAGGAACAACCGTAGAAGGAGGTTTTAATAACCACGCCAACAACAGCAGGGCCTATTGAAGCCAGTGGGGAAGAACCAGCTGTGAGTAATGTTGTGCCCAATGTTGCAGCAAATGTGGACGGGGAGGAACCACAGCTGCAGCAGAGACGAGCGAGCCAAATCTCGCACTGGCCACCGCTTTCCTGTGGCCAACCGAATGCTGACGTCCCCTAACTAAGCTACGCATTGCTCGCCGCTTCGCTCCTGTGACTTGTCTGACACGTGAAGGAACAACGCGTGTGAAGGAGTCTTGTAGATAACCGACAGCCAGACAACAGCAGGGCCTAATTCGAAGCCAGTGGGGAAACGCTGTGAGTAATGGTTGTGCCCAATTGCTGCATCGACAAATGGCGGACGGGGAGGGAACCAGCGAGGCTCAGCAGCACGACGAGTGAGCCAATCTCCGCTACATCTTCTGAGGCCAAAGAATCTGAGGTCCCTCTAGTACATTGCTGCCCGTTTCACACGTGATTGTTGCAAATGAAGGAACAACTGTAGAAGGAGTTTTAATAACCACGTCAACAACAGCAGGGCCTTCATTCGTAACTGAAGGAAGCGGAGAAACACATATTGCTGAGGCACACTCTGAAGATTCCCTGGCGCCGTCAAATGTTGTAGCACATGTTGAAAAAGAAGCGTCCACTACAACGGCAACAGTTTCACAGACTACATCCGAGGAAGAAAAGGCGGTCACTGCTGTGTTTTCCGAGGCCAATGAAGACGAATCCCATAAAAGTATTGAAGCAGGAAGCGTTGAAGCTAACATTGATGAAAAACCAACTACACTAACATCATCGTCACCTAATCAGGAGACAACCACAGAAGTCGTCCTCGTTGCAACAGGAGTTGACCTCTCCGTCTCTGGCACACCTTTTACCGCACCTCCGTCGACAAATGATGAATCTGCAATCTTATCCTCAACTTCCGAGCCGGAAGAACATAGAACAACTGAAGATTCTACAGAACACCATTTCGCAGAGTCTACGACTGTAAAACATATTGAATCCAGTGGGGAAGAACCAGCGGCAAGCAGCAGAATTCCAAATATCGGAGAGAGCATGGACGAATCAACAACGGCAACGTTCTCGAATAGCCCTACAGAAACAGTTTCCACGTCCGGTGCAGTGGGCGACTTATTTTCGAGCACGCTTTCCACCATAACCCCATCTGCAGCAGTAGAACACTTACCATTTTCCTCTGCTCCCACTTCATTCGCACCAGTAATGACTGTAGAATTAATAACCACTGAAGCTTCTTCTGAAACATCTACGACAGCAGCGCACCACGAATCAAGTGTCGATCATCACTTTAGTGTAGAAACAACTCCATCTGTAGGAGAAACAGTTACTTCGTCCACATCCGTTGAAGCTAGTGGAGAGGAACAGGAGAACGTTAACAAGCTGCCAAACGTTGCAGCCAGTATAGATGATGCAAGTCTTGCAAAAACGGTGGCAGAATCTACTCTAGCGAGCGCGCCAACACCAACCACTTCATACGCCGTAGTATCATCGGCGGTGGACGAATCTGTCGCGGCTTCTTCTACTCCGATGCCGCCCTCGTTTGTCATTGAAAACGAACCAGAGAAAACTGCAGCTGAAAGTCGAATCGAGAAAACAACGGCAACACCGAATGAAGCCAGTGAAGAAGAACAAGCTGAACGCCACACAGTGCCAAACCTGGAAAACGTCGACGAAGCAACAACCATAGCAATTGTCCAGAGCGTTTCGACAGAAGCGCCTTCGGATCATACAACAACTGTGGTAGCCTCCAACGGATTAGAGACGAGCACCCCTATTGTCGTTGTCTTTTCAGGAGAAATCTGACAATGCTATCACCTCCTCGACTTTTGCTTCTATTTCTGCAGTGACCGGACTGAGTGAAGAACCAACCACTTCAGAAGACCATGATGCAGTTTCAACGGCACCGACAACACTCGAAGGCAGTGGAGAGGAGCAGGCAGAAAGAACTAATGTGCCAAACTTGGCAGCAAACATAGATGAGAAACCAAGCACTGAAACGACACTGTTGAATGTTCCGATCACGACCACGGAATCAACGCTGGCATCCATTGAAGCTGGCGAGTCCATAACAGTTACAGCGACTACCGCAATCTCAGATGGATTCGACAGCGCTTCTCCAACTTTGACGAAAGATCTGTCCGAAACGGGAGCAAGCGCTGAGACCACCTCTGCTGAGGGTCTTTCTAGTACGTCAACCGTAACCTCTGTTGAAGGTAGTGGTACGGAACCATCCCACAACGTAAAAGTTCTACATGTTGAAGAAAGCATAGACGAACATACTACTGGTGTGCCGGAATCAGCAGAAGCTACGGAAAGCTCCAAAAGTGACGGCTCGGAAGGCGGTGGAGAAACGCCAGCACCGCCGGCTCTCGTAACTTCAACCTTATACGAAAGTAGGTCATTATCTGACTCTTGATTGTCTGCAAGCAATCTCTTATGACATTCACAGAGTTTAAGGTGAGATTATTAAGAAAATTTCAGGTACTACCGATGTTTACAAGCCAAGGCTTAATGCAACAGCGATGGAAGAGGAGGATGAAGAGTCCATCATCAATCCCGCAATCCTTGAGCACGAGCATAATGCCAATCTACCAGTAAATGTTGGTTTCGTACCAGGTTCTGAGCCGGATCTTCTCCATGAAAGCGGGGAACAAGAAGAAGATGAAAGCGAGAAGACGGTAAGTAACGATTCATGTTATGGTAAAAGTTGATAACTGTTCTTGTTCACTCAAGATATGAAAGGATAGCATTCTATCTCTTTCAGGGTCCTCCTAGAGGGCTTGACTATGAAGATACTGTAAACGGCAAAACCCTTAATCCTGAAACTGCAACCCAAGAAACTTCAAGTAAGCGGTTTGCACATTGTTCTATAGTTAGCCAGGATTTGTTTCACTATATCAAAACATTTAGTCGCATATCAGAGCACCACTACTGAACCACCTCTCCAATTAGTCCAAGATTTAATCGACGCTCTTGCCGGAGGTGGTCTCAACGCCATTCTGGGACCCCCACGACGACCGCCCACTACGGTGGAAGAAGCGGACAAACGACTCGGTAGGTCACTGCTGTATATTGCCCTGGCTAGGTTTACCATTGTGATGATTGTTATTCAACATACTAATGTAGGGCGGAGTTGCTCCAAGAGGGCAACTCCGCCCTACCATGAGCATTCCGCTCTGAAATGGAAACTATAGTTGCTCCATTCAATGCGGCTGTTACCCTGTCTGTCGCAAGGCTTAATGTGTGGCACTCAATTGGTGATATAAGATTGGGTTGTCCAGAAAATCCTGCGGCACTTTGAACAAATGAGTTTAGGGAAAATTGAAACCCTTCTCAGTTGTTTTGGCATTTGATTACTGTAGTGTGTCTTCGAAGGTTTCAGCAGAAGTTTCAAGCATCATTTTACAGCTCCAAACTTCTCTCTGATCCGAGCCATCCTTTGACATATTTTATTTCTCGAGCTCCTATGAACCTACGTTGTTAGTTGATCTACATATAGCACATGTAGATATTTACATAGACATAGAAATCTGACACGAAGGTATCCTTGTGAGGATGACTTGTGCTGAAAGTGAGAGCGCATACTTGTAGATGATAGGCCATGGGATATGTTCATTCTTTCTGTAAGAGATGCCGTAAATGTAATTCAGTTCATTGAAATAATCCGCTTACAGGAGCGTTTGCATTACTGTTGTGAATAACTTTTTCAGGGCGCTGGTGTACTCAAGTGGGGGCATCCCCACCGGATGACTCTTGGGAAGAATGAATTGGAAGGGTAGTGATAAATTCCTACACACGTCCAATCATCCAAGCTCAGTTCTACGGAGACGCAGTAGGAAAAGGGGAGGAAACCTTAGCATGCTGGTCTTAACGGCCTTTATTTCCGCCACATTTTAGTGGGACTTTAGCGCACTTTCTGCATTGAAGGATGATAGGAGTTCTCCACACACGCCGTGAGCAAAACTTAACTATTGTACTATCAATTGGGAAGCTGTCCTCCACGATTTTAATGCGACTTTGCATGAAATGTTATGTTCAGTGTCCGCTTCCTACTTTTGCTGGATAGGAGAGTTTTTGAGCTATGCCCACTACCACAAATATTCACTGGATATCTCGAAAATATATGTAAAACACTACTGTGATGACTGAAACATATGTAAACATATACTACTTGAAGAGTAACTGTAATAACGCTTTGCGGTACCGACAATTGCAACGGGCCGCAGGTGGGAGTTAAGTAACGTAACATCTCTGACGCTGTAGTTATCGGGTAATGCCCCTGAAAGCGTCTGCTAAAGGAAAAAATACGATGAATAGGTCGACTCGAAAATAAAGGATCCACTCATCTAATCTTTTCGAAGCAAACGCCAGAATCCAAGTAAGAAAGGAGAACTGCCTCGGGCATGTTACGTCTTTTCCTCATAGTAATGGTGACACCTTGCTTTATTTAACACCTTGACGACAGCGCGGCAACTAGGTTTGCCGCGTTTTGCACGCCGCAATGGACATTGTGGCAACTATAGTTGCCACACCCTTTACATTCAGTTTTTTCTTGAACGCGCCATTTCTTCCCAGGTTTTTTGTGTTCATTTTTTAGGCCATACCACAACATAACCAAGAACCACGCGGCTTATAGAATGACCAAATATTCTTTAGTTTGGCAGAGGTTTTTCGGACCGGACGAAAATATCCGTTCAGTTCATTCCTCATTTTCTCTTCATTAACACGAACATGTAGATAAAAAAGAATATTAGAAGTGAGTACAAAGCTACTCGTGTGGCAAGATATGTGTTTTTACCGAAACAACCACGTCCAAAATAATTTTGAAATCACTAAAGCAAAAGTAAGTGAAACTTGCCTTTTCAATGCTGTAACACATCATTCGACCGCACTTTCACATGTGTACCTTCCAATAAGTTTGACACACCGAATATCAGTGAAAACATTTTGTCGCATCGAAGTATTGCGTATTTAAAGCTCAAAATCCACAGATTTGTTGTGAGGCGGCGGCGCTCGCAGAACCGCTCTGGTCCCACGCGGCCAAAAATGCCAAAACGCGCGATGTCGTCAACGTGTTAATATTCCAACAAAAGAAGCTTCGTATCAAAAATCTGGAACAAGTGTCGCAGGGATTTTTGCGAAACCTATTTATAATGAGAGAATTTTTGATTCGTAATAAGATATTGTATTGATTCGCATTTATACATTCCATTTAGGCGAACTGAAAAAGTATCTACACAAGCCAATGGAACAGAAACAAGGTCAGTTCTATAGAAAGCTTAATCTAAACCTACTTTTAGGAGTTGTAGTATGTGTATTGATCGCTTCACAGCATTGCTAATTTTGACCATTGGGTGTCATCTCGAACGTTGAAAACCATTCGTATAAGTAATGATATCAGTATCTGTGTAAAACAAATGAGATGAGATTTTTCATCAACTGAATTAGCATTGCTATATGGGTTGCCAACTCACCAAACACACGGCAATGGAACAATCCAGATGCAGTCGAAGTGTGTATTGAGGCGCGCCATTTGGCGCGCGTTTCTCATGGCGCATAAGTTGGGTTATAACTTGGCTTACATCTGCTGGTTCGTGATCACTGAGAATGACTAAAGGTGAAGGTCAGAGTGATTGATTTTGTAGCCGATTTTGAGCTAATAATGATTCAGCCGACGTTTCGTCATTATCGCCATTCGAAATCTAATGAACTTCAAAAACTGTGTTATAGCAATTTCAGCCTCCAGGGGTTACTGAACGTGACCGGAAATTACTGAGTTCATTTAACTGAGAAAAGCGCTGTCGACCAAGGAGATTCACCCGTTAAACTGAGCTGTTACCAGTTTAGGTTGAATAATGTAGGCCTGGTACAACGAGCTCGAGGGGTTTTCGAATGGGTCAATAATAATAGTAATGCTACTGTTGAGGTCCCTAGGGCGTTCCGCTGAATTGTTCTCAACTTCTCCCCTCTCCCTCTCCCTCACAGGGATAACGGTCGAAGAATTGTTCGACCGTTATCCTGGAGGGAAAGAGGGAATATCCGCGCCGAGTGCGAAGTGAATATACCGCGCGCGAGCAAACTTAAAGTTCAGGCAAAAATGTTACTTCATCTAGTTCCTTAAAGCAACAGTCCCAGCAGGGTGGGCGTGGTCGGAAACGACTGCAATCCCCTCGGCCGATTCCGACCACGCCCACTTCAGCTCCCTCCCTAGCGGCTTTCCAAGGTGAGTTTTTGTTCAGTCACACTTCTTACGTTCTTGACTAGGGCTGAACAGCTCCGAAGTGGGAATCGCCGAGGGGATTGCAGCCGTTTCCGACCACGCCCACCCTGCTGAGAACTGTTGCTTCTTGTGCAGACCAGAGCTCGAAACGTCGTATAAATCGTCATTGTGGTTATTATCAGTTATATAAGTTCCACCACTCAGATCTGTATTGAAAATTGGCGAGAATTATTGAGTTGAATTTTGACCATTAGGGAAGGTCTTTTTATGACTGGTTGATGCGGAGAATGGACACTGATCACGTATACAGCAAATGGAAAGCGGTCAAAGTTCGAGGTCACTTGGACTGCAAACTCGGGAACTAAATTCTTTTCAGAGATATGAACTGCATAAATCGAAATAATCTTGATGTGTTTAAGTTTATAATAACCATTCAAATTTGCTATGCATTTTTGTTGTTGCTTTATGCTGAATATTGTTGGGAAGATGTGTATCGTAACTTAAATACGTTGATTGGTGCAGAGTGCGCTTCGGGACACATGCGATTCGTGGCCAGCGAGCTCACCGATCTCACCACTCGATT